AGCATACATATGAAGGGTACATTCATCACACCTGCCTGCAAGTATTTAAAAGCAAGATTGGACCATGAAGAATTTTCCTGTCTCTCCTCAGGCACAAGAAAGCAGAAAATAGGAAAGAGGACTCAGGAAGGAAGAGGGTAAAGTATGGTAGAAACCATTCTCTTCCAGGTCTTGGATAAACATGGCCAACACAACTCATTTTTTGAGAGCTTCTGACTTGGACATGAACATCCTATTTACAGTTTTGTACAAGGCACAATTATTGTACAAAGCACAATAATTATGTCAGGTTATTATTTTTAAAAAGCAAGGTGATAAAGTTGGTATTCTTCCAATACACATTTGTTTTCCTTGAACTGAACATAAAATAGAAAATCTGTTACTGATAATATATAGATAGTGCCAGGCTAGCTAGACCAATAGTTTCATTCAATCTAACTCAACCATTCACACAGGGGTAAGCCTATTTAAATATTTTTAAGATGTAAATAGCTTAATCTTTCAACAGTTCTTTCCCCAGACACTCTGTGTGTTCATTCTCTATCTCTTTTTCACACACACACACACACGGGGGGGGGGGGGCACATGGACACAGGTATCTGTAGTTTTAAATGGAAAGAAAAATGGTCATTCAGTGATCAAGAATTAATTTTCTGAGAAGAACCCTGTTTTTCTTTCAGAAATGCAGGTTTTCCTTTTCAATACCTACTCGAGGACAGCACAATTCAGCCAAAGTTGAGAACATATCAGCTCCATTCATTTCAATGGGAGAAAAGCAAGGATATGGTCAACTCTCCCATTATAATCAAAGCACTTTTAATTCAGTTGGACTTTAGACTGTTCCAAGTCTTGGTAGTATAACTCAGGAAAGTGTGTGCATGTGTGCATTTCCATTCTGAAATTATATTTTTCAGTCCTGTATCAGTTGCACCACCAGAGTTGACAACATTTGGTAAGGGTTGTCCTTTAATTTAGACAAAAGCAAGCATTTCTTAGAAAAATCAGTGTGGGGCTTTTTGCGCTCCCCCCCCCTTTTTTTTTTTTGGTATCAGACTCATAAAACCTTTTCACAACAGAGATTCCAAGAAAACCCTTTAAGGTTTTAGGATGTCGATTCTTTTACTAAGTAACAAAATACACCCCATGGTGTCTCATTGACCCCACTCAGCTGTCCTTTGACCTCTTCAATTGTTGTAATCTAACTTCAGGGGCCACAGAACTTGCCTCCCATATCAAAAAGGCTAATGTTGCTTCCTCCTAGCACCTGGTGAAACAAAATGCAAGGCACCCCCCTCCCCCCACTACTTCTACTATGCTCCAGATGTTCCCTTCTAAAATCTTCCTGAAAGCTGGTTTGGTGTCTGTGTGGTAAGCAAAAAGGCAACAATTAGGACCTGGACGATGGCAATGACCCTCTTGTTGTATTGGGCCTGAATGCCCCTATTGGGCCTCCTGCCCTAAGGATACAACAGGTCATAAAACAGGAATAGATCTTTGGCCTCCTGGAAATACTACAGCATTTAAGTACAACAAGAAACAAAAGGATTCCAATGCTCATATAAAGTAAGCCAAGTCTCTTCAACTGACCCACAGCAAGAAAAGCGGGAGGAGGGCACTTCCCTTCTGTAAATTATCTTATTTATATTCATATATTTATTTGATCTATATACTTCTCTTCCTCAGAAAGAGACCAGGGTGGGTAACAGCCCATACAAGACACGGTATACCATATATACACATTACAATCATGACCAAAGCAAAGGTGAGAGTTTTTAAAGAATATAAGCAGATTTTTAAAAGATTTATAAAGCTGATGTAAAAATTGAAGAAGCTCGGAACAGATCTGAGACATTCAAAACAGCAGTTAAAAAAGAACTGGGTAAAAGGGTGGGCATCCCTGCCTTTATATACTAAGGGGAAAGGATGGGGCTCCCCCCAAAATGAGTTACCCAAGAATATCTTCCTGACAACAGGCCCTGCACAGGTGCAGGGCCCATATGTGTGATGCACAGAGACCATGAAGAATAACTTTATAATAAAATACAGTAAATATTCAGTTCAGTATATAACAAACAAACAGAACATTTCCCTTTACTTCCAAAGCCTGCACAAATAATTTGTCTTCACATGGTATCTAATGACAACAACCATGGGGGAAAGCTGAATCTCTATCAGAAGGAAGACCCAGAGCCAGCATGGCAGCAGCAAAAAACCCTTCATGTACAGTAACCAACATTACAGTAACAAGCCACATTACCCAAGAGAACGGCAAACAACTTCCCCACCACTGCCAACTAATCTTAAATCCAAGGCTGGTTTGTATTGAAGTAATCTTTCAAATATCTGTGTCTTGAGTCCATTAGTATTAACATCTTGAATTGGGCTTGGCAACTCACTCTGCTAATCCAGAGATTTCAAACCTGGTATAATGTGCTCATATCCCTCTGCCTACCAACTCAAAAGCAGCCTCATTCTGTACCAGCATTGCAGTACTAACATTGGGAAGTTTTGAGAATGTGGGCTGTTTTTGTCTCCTTTTCGTTACAATACATGTACCTCTGCTGTTTCTTTTCACTTTCTCATACATACTTGCTTCTTTTATATTTTTAACAGAAATGCACTTTCAGTAAATGTTTGATTACAATACAGTGGTACCTCAGCTCACAAACACCTCAGTTCACGACCAAATCAAGTCGATTACAAAAATTTCATAAAAATTTTGACTCAGGTCACGAACTCCGCACTGGGTGGCGACCGTGATTGTGGCCTTCTCCCCACCCCTCTCCGAATAGGGAGATGGCCAAGATTGTGTCCGTCTTTCCTGCAGGAGCGCAACTGCGATCTTGGCCATTTCCCTCCCCAGCACAATCACACCCGTCTCCCACCACAAGTGTGCCCGTGTTCACACCGTCTCTCCCCACCCAGCACGCCCACATTCGCACCATCTCTCCCCGCCCAGCATGCCCGCGTTTGCGCCCATCTCCCCCCCCCCAGCACGCTGGGATGATGGGTGCGTGCAGGGATGATGGGCATGATCGCGGTCATGCCGGGGGGGGGGGGCAGGGAGATGGTCACACTCATGCTTGGGGTGGAGGGGGGGGAATGGCCATGATCTTGGTTGTTCTTTGGTGCTTTGCTTCACATTTTTCTGATTAAAAAAATAGTTACAGAACAGATTAACCTTATTTACATTGAACCTTATGGGGAAATTTGACTTGGCCAATTTGGGACACGACCAGAGTCCTGGAATGGATTAAGTCCATGAGCCAAGGTACCACTGTACATCATATCAGTCTATTTGTAACCAGGTATATCCATTCTAATTGAATGCAATGTTCTTTCATTGAGCTTCATCCTACAGTAAGTCTTTGAGCAGGGCTTGGCAACTTGTAGCTCTTCACATGTTGGATTGTAACCTTACCAGCCTTTGCCAGTGTGATCAATAGGTATGATTGAAGGTACATTCCAACACATCTGGAGGTCAACCAATTGCCTCCCCTTGTCTTAGAGTTATGTGCTTCTAAAAAAAGAACGCACAAAAGATTCAGCTCCAGCTTTCAACTCACCAATATACTGTTTTTAATTCTTAATCTCTGAATGGACATTTTAAGTTGTAAGGGGATAGGCATGAGTAAATAAATGGAAATATAGCCAGACAAAATAGAAATGTACTTTGTCAGAAGCCCTGCTAACACAGTGATAGGGACTTGTGCTCTGGGAGATCTTTTGTATCCAGCTCTACTACTGGATTATCCAGTGGTGGTGGTGATGGCCAGGAATGCTATGTGGGTGGCCAAAGGCAAAGGTGGTGCAGTCAAAATATGATGAACACCAGCGTATTTTAGATTAAGTTTCTTCCTGCCAGTAACTATGCCTCAGGAGAGGCATTTCAACCTTTTAGAATGAGGAGAAATGTATATGCAAACTGTGGCAAACCACCAAATGATAAACAACTACGGAAAGGGTAAGAAGTCAATGGAAAGGACATGGCAGTCTTGGGAAACCTGGAGAGTCAGTCTAGGAACTCAGATGGGCCAAAATATACTGCAGACCTGAGGTTCTGCAACCTGGCTGCAATGTGTTCTTCAGGCAATGCACAGCTGGTCAGAAATGTATGAGAATGTATGTTCTCAGTTTATAGAGTCCAGTTTGGGGAACTTAATTCTCCAGAAGATTTTTTAATACGCCCCTCATTCTACCATTTAGTATTCTATAGTATTGTACCATTTGCTGAAAAATAAATTATTAGGCAAGCCTCATTCTTTTTAAAATTTTCTCTCATTTGTTCTCATTTGCTTTTTCTTCTTTTTCCATTGCTACTGCTATTGTATTCATTCTTGTGGCTGTGCTTTCAAATGTTATTTAATGGTTTAAAATTGATTATCAAACCTCCTTGAATTATTTAATTTCTGAATTAGGAAGGCAAAATGTAAATATTTCAAATAACGAAATGAAAAAATATTACAATAATTATATTTTCAACAGGCTGGTAATATAGTTATTTACACTTCTTATAATTTCACATGGTTTTGAATAAACAATTCTCATTGTTTTTGATCTGGCAGTCATGAAACGTCAAATAAAAAGCTTCAATGTGAGCCCCACCCTGCTTTTCTTCTATTTCACATTACCACAAAAATAATGTTTAAACTTTTGAGAATATTCATACTCTGAAATTGTTTGCTATAACGAATAACTGAATCCAGTATATCAGCATAAGTGACTAGGAATAGAGTATGGTCCACAATGGTATATTTTAATTTCACAGACACTTATTAATTACACAGACACTTTAATGTCATATCATGTAATATACTTGCACACATTAATGCATTAAAGAACTTTGCATAACTTATAATTCTGAAAGTGCAAATTTAATTGAACAGAGGGAAATGTCTATGTTAGATAATGAATCCGAATATCTTTGTATTATCACTGCAATAGCTTATAATTTAGGCATAATCATAACAGCTTAATTATTAATGCAAAAAGAACCTTACCTTCTAGTATTCCTTTCAACCTTTTTTAAAAGCATTCATGGTGGACGATTGTTCAAAGTTACTCTGCCAAATGATCCAGATGGATGAAAGTTTTAAAGACCTATAAAACAAAAACATGACTTAAAATAAATGAAGAAATTGAGAACTAAAACAGTTATGCAAAATTTCCATATGGCAAACTCCATTAGAAGCTACCCAAATTTTGCTCCTAATTGTATACCACCTTTACTTTGGAGTAATCCCTATTGGACTTGATAGGACTTACTGTCAAGTAAGCATAGGTGCTGTTTCTTGCACAAACAACCATGCAAGCATGCTTATGCACAAACACACGTGCAAGGATGGTCATGCACACACACAATAGATAAAATAATACATTATTAGACTGGTAAGCAACCAACTCCTAAAAAGAGCTTCTATAATTCAAATTGCAATCTCTGACACATACTGTTGAAAACACTAAGAGTGAAAAAATATAAATATCATGATCTAGCTTATGCCTGGAAATTCAAGCTATCATAGTCATAATATCCATCTCTGTATTTGCTCTACTGTATCACCATATTGTGCAGCCTCCATGGAGTCTGAATTTCAGTTGATTACCATATGGATATTCCTTTGTGTCCATTTGGCCTAACATAAGAGGGACAAGCTCCGAATGCCCCAAATCAAGAATTACAGCGGAGTACATATGACATATTTCCAATGAAATGAAATGAAATGAAATGAAATGAAATGAAATGAAATGAAAAAGTTTTTATTCTCTAGATTTGCCATTTAGCCAAGAAGTTCTTAAATAACACTTATCATTGATAAAGATGACGGTAATAGTAATAATAAAATGTTATCTTCAAGAACCCAATCATAGTTGTTTGCACTGAACATGACCTTGAAATGGGAGTTCCATTCATCCAAATTTTATTTGTGTTGATTTTCAAGTTTTTTATATAATGTTTTTATATAATGTCTCAAGGAAAATGACCTTACTTTCAGTCAATGATTTCCCATTTGAATTCATACCAGTTGTACAGAACTGAGGATCTGGGATGACTTCCAAAAATTCAGACTCACTTAGTACTCTAGCCTCTCAGTAGAGATTGCCTATCACTACAACCCAGAAGAGTGTAGGATAAAAACTTTGAAACATTCTTTATTCCCGATTTCCAACAATCTTGTTCACTTATGTGCTCTCTTTAATCTGGATCATTTCCACAGTTCCAACCTTTAAAACTATCACCAGTGATTTTCAAGTCAAATAACATTGCTTTTGACCACAATGTAAGACTGTGCAAAGACTTTAATTATTATTATTTTGTTTAAGTCCATAATCCAATTTCAACAGCATCAGGACCGAAATTGCTATTTTTGGGGCCACGTGCTGAACATTTCACCTGCTAGTAATGACATCTTTGTATTTTCTTCTAATTACACTCAAAGCTAAGACCTTTGGCCCTGGGCCACAGACCTCTATTCAGGCTGCACACATTCTCTTAAGCACCCTGATCCTTTGTTGTCATTCTTAGTCTTTCATCTATTATTTACATCAATTCAGATGGGTGCTACTCTACCATTTGTGATGCTTCTAATCATCTTAATTTCTTTGCTTAAAAAAAAACACCTCCTGATTCCTTCCTCACAGCCTGGCACAGCAAACAATTTGACAGAATCATTTCTCATGCCAATGGTTTTAAAGCATTCCAAGACTTTGTCAAAACTATGAAAGCTAAAGTATATCATTTTTACTAGAAAAACAGCAAGCTTGAAAAAAATTATTTTCACTCATTAAGACATGTCAAACACAATTAGCTAAACTAAGAAATCATGGACCCATGTTTTCCATTTAAACAGGGAGTGATTCAAAGTTGTTTACTATTTCAATGTTTTTCATCAGAAAACATGAGAAAGCATCATATAATCAGGTAAAACTTGGCACTAAACAGCATGAGACAAACTGAGTTTTTAAAAATAAATAAATAAAACTGTGCACGAATTTTACAGTCTGTGCCATGGAGCACTGGCGTCTGCACTTCAACTGAAATAAAATGCCCATTATATGCATACACAGGGCACAGGATCAAAATGAAAAATAACATACTGTAAATGAAACCTACGAAATATTTATAAACATGACAAAGCCCAATTGTTTGTCACAGTTCTGTTCCACAGATGACAAAATTAAACTGAAAAAATAAGAGGCTTTTTTACCATAATTTACATGACCAATGAAGAATCTTGGGGTCCAAATATGACAGGATATGATCTATCTTGGTGCTTTCTTTCTGTGATGTTTGCCTTTCAAACACTGTTTCCTTGTCGCCTGCCCTCTCTGAAACCCTCCAAATCCCTCGTCTTATTTTCACCATTTGCTTCAACCAGCAGCTCACTTGAGACTCATCCATCTTATAAGGCCTCAAGTGACAGATGCTCTTAGAAATGACCATACTGCTGAGTGAACAAAAGATAACATCACCTCTAGGAACTCAAGGGAGAAATACAACAGCAGTCTTAACACTGTGACTTTCTGATGGATACTGCATTGTAAACCTTTCACAAGTGAAAAAAGAAGACAACTGCAGAGAAAATAATCTTTTACTCAAATCAAGGCAGAAAACAGAGCTCTGAAAAAAATACATGCCAGAGGAGTGCACTGGGTATATACCACATACAAAAATTAAATCCAATCATACCTAAAATAGACATGTCCAGCTTAAATTCCATATATTTCACTGAGTCTATTCCAAATATTACTAAATCCAGTTCCTTCCCAATTGTGATACTTCCCTATTTCCTATATTATTAAATTACAAGTATGCTATTTACAAGACCAAATCTAAACATAAGCAGGCAATTCCAGAAGGACATTAACTGTGAACTGCATATATTCTGGAATTAGATATAACTCTTAAAGCAAAGGACGCCTAGCAACTGAAATTGGCATCCAATTCAACATTCAGAAAATACTTGTTTCAGTGCAAGAAGCATTGGTTAAGTGTATACATTTACTAAAACACATGCAGTATGAAGTCTAAACAGGATAACTTTTTTAAAAGCATGCTTTCGATTTAAGCTGCACATACATTCACAACATGTAAACGATCTGAAGTGATTTGATTTCAATACACATTTTTATGTAAGATATAATTTGTTACTGGTTTTCAATATTTGAAGTGATGATTGCAAACTCAAGCCATAATTGTATCATATGCAATTGTTCTGATCTTACAACATTTTATTTGTAATGTAAGTACTATTAGACATTATGCAAAGAGGAATTTGGGCAGTAAAAATAGAAGAAAGATGTTGTGATGAACTATAAATCACTTTTGTGACAAACAGAGATCCTATTAACATTTCCCTGCAACAAATTAATGAGGTGAAAGAGTCACTGCCCCCCTACTGGATGGGAAATGTAGATTCAAAGTATCTATTTCATCCTCTAGAATCTTTTAGTTTTTACACAATCACAAAATCAATTTTTATAGAGAGGCACAGAACAAACACTGCTAGGTCACTGGAAAAACAAAAGAAATATTGTTGATATATGGATAGCTCAATCAGTCTATCATGCAATGCACACAAATTGTGTGATTTCAATATACAGTTCAACATCATATGTACTTGTTATTTAGGTCTACCTAACAAGTGACCTAAATGCATTACTATTTTATCATTCAAACTAAACCATAACTAACTTCAAGCTCATGCACATATGCATCCTTATGTTCTTTCTGATGTTCAGCCCGAACCTGGCTTTATGTAACTTAAAGCCATTGTTTTGTGTCCTGCACTATGGGATGATCAAGAAGATATCCTCTCCTTCCCCTTTGTGACAGCCTTTCAAGTACTTGTAGAGCACTATCCTATCACCCCTTAGTCTTCTATTCTCAAGGCTAAACATGCTCAGTTCTTTTACTCTCTATTCATAGGGCTTTGTTTCCATTCCCCTGGATCATTTTTGTTGGCCTCCCCTGAACCCTTTCCAGCTTGTCTGCACCTTTCTTAAATTTTAGTGCCCAGAACTAAACATTTTCAGATAAGGCTTAACTAGTGCTGAGTAAAGGGGAACTAGTACTTCATAAGATTTGGAAGTGATACCTCTATTAATGCAGCCCAAAACAGCATCTGCCCTTTTTGCAATCACATCACATTGTTGTGTTGCTTGAGATCTACAAAAATTTCATGATCCTTCTCACTTGCAATATTGTTGAGTCAAGTATTTTCTATCCTGCAAGAATGTATTTGGTTTCTTTCTTGTAGGTGCAGAACTTGGCATTTGTCCATACTGTATTTCATTCTGTTGTTTTCAGCCCAGCACTCCAACCTATTAAAATCACCTTGAATCTTCTTTCTGTCTTCAAGGATCCCCCCTCATTTTCATATGCAAATTTGATAATCTTTCTCTGTACTTCCTCAGCTAAATTATTAATAAAAATCTTGAAGACCACTGGGCCCAGTACTGAGTCCTGAGGTACCCTACTTGTTACCTCTTCCCAGTTTGAGAAGGTTTTATTGATGAGTACTGTGTGACTCTGAGAGTGTAATGAACTGTGGATCTACTTGATAGTTGTTCCATCTCATCCACTTTTAGCTAGTTTGCTAATCAGAATGTTGTGGGGCACTTTTTCAAAAGCTTTGCTGAAGATAAACTAGATTATGTCCACAGCATTCTCACAGTCCACCAGGGAGATTACCCAATGAAATAATGAAATCAGCTTAGTCTGGCATTTCTTGAGAAATCCATGTTGACTCCTAGTAATCACAGTATTGCTTTCAAGGTGTTTGCAGACTGACTGCTTTATAATCTGTTCTAGAATTTTCCCAGGGATCGATGTCAGACTGACTGATCTATAGCTCCCAGGTTCTTCCTTTTTTCCTTTCTTGAAGATGGGGACATTTGGCCTTTTCCAGTCTACTGGCACTTCTCCTGTCATCCATGATTTCTCAAAGATAAAAGGCAATGGTTCTGAGAGTTCTTCCACCAGCTCCGTTATGATACTAGGATGGAGTTCATCAGACCCTGGAGATTTGAACTCATTCAACCCAATTAGATGTTCCTTGACCATTTGCCTATACATCTTGAGCTGCCATCCTGCTCCGTAA